CTACAGTATTCCCATCTCTTCTCTACTTCATTTATAAATTAAAGACAGATTCTGTAAGGGAATATGATGGAGAAGTGATCCCACACACAGACAGAAGCATGTGTGTGGGGAAAGAGATTTATGATTAGACAGGAGAAAGCAGGGCAAGGACAAGGCATGGAAGTGTAGGAGGAAGGAAGAGATACAGCACCACAGCAATTTTTCAGAACGTGAGGACAGTGTGAGGTGCTTGCTCCCTCTTTCTCCAAGGGAATGAACACCCTGACTTCCTTAGGAATTTTGGAATGCACAAACTCTGGGTATTAAACCAAACAGCAGCTGATGCAAGTGAGCAGCAGTGGTACCCAAGCCCAGATGCTTGGACCTGGTGGTGACTGCAGGCTGCAAACTAATGGAGGATGTCTCTGTCCCTGCAGCCACTATCACCTCTCCCACCTAGAGTCAGGGAAGGCTTGCTCCTGCAGTTTTCTCTCCACTCTCCAGTCATCGCTTCTTTTGTTTTTGTACGTTGGAAGGCTACTCATCAAGCCACCTGTTTTTTGAAAATAAAGATCCTTTGGATTGCCATAAGTTATTAGGAGAAAGTTTATGCCTTTTTATTCCTTTGCCCTTCAACAGAACTTTTGTTCCTTTATTTGCATTGACAACACCCAAAATATTTGGAGCACAAGACTATGTTCTTTCATGTTTTGGTTTGATAGACCAAACAAGCCAATCTTTTTTTTTTCTTTTCTTTTTTTAATTCTCAAATAACTGCTCTCAAGTTCCCTAAATATCTTTAGCAACTGTCTGGTTTTGGTACAGCTGTAGTACCTTTTCTTGAAAGTGCTGACTAGAACCTAGAGGAGATTGCATACCAAATCTTTCAAATGGGATTTCCATGTTACAAGCATGTCTGCCTTTTCCACAAGAATGATAGCTCATAACCAATATGTGACTTACCAATGCAGATATGGTTTTGTATGGAGAATACAGAGGTACTAAGAAGGGTTAGTCAAAATGCAGACCCACTGTGGGGCTTCTTGCTTTTCCAGCTCTGTTCTGCTGCTGTTTCAAGACTTTGGCCATGCCAGTGGCCATGCTGGTACTCAGCAGGCTTGAGCTTCAGATGGCACAGCCATCTGCTTTTTTCCTACTATAGGTATCACACCAGGAGGTTCAACACAACACTGCTCTCAGAGATACTGGTGCTGCTGCCAGGTTTACAAGCGTTGCCCCAGCTGGTCAGTTAGGGCAGTGGTGTCAGAAGAGGTTTGGCAGCTTGGCTGCTGCCTATGAATACACATGCCAGGAATATGCTGCTTCATGGCAGGGCAAACAGCAGCCTCTCTCCCACACCATACTGTGCTTTGCTCTGCCTGAAGCCATCCATCTCTTGTTTCATGGTGGCACTTCTTACAGAGAGTTACAGCCACTGATCTGCTGACGGTTTCCATCAGGCAGAGTGTTCTACAGCTCAAGGCTGCTGTCTGAGAGCAGGGAGGAAGGGAGGGAGGGAGGAAGGGAGGCGGGAAGGGGAAGGAGAGGAGAGGAGAGGAGAGGAGAGGAGAGGAGAGGAGAGGAGAGGAGAGGAGAGGAAGGGAAGGTTGAAAAAAGAAAGATTAAGTAGGAGATTGCCTTGGAGAGATAATTTCCTTGTCTCTGTATCTCTGTTACCATACTCAGGATCTTATCTGTCCCTATACTTTTACGTTATTACTTACAGAGGAGTATGAAATATATCGGACATTTCACCAGTCAATGAAGACATTCTTGATATCCGCCCCACAGCTGTTCTGGAGATAGCAATTTTTCTTTGCCCCTGGATCTTCTCACACCTCTGCTTCTTGAGTGCACTAAGAATTCTTCCCCCAGGGCTCTGTGTCAGTTTGGTTTCTTTTATATTTTTTCTTTTATCTTCAGCCTTAGTGAATTCTGTTTTTGCACCCATGCAGTTGGGAAAACATAATACTTCATGCAAGCCAAATATGCGAACAAGTTGAAAGGCAGAGACAGATGGAGCCATCTCTGTGATATCTAAACAAAACACTTTGGACATAATGAAATACTAAAGCATTTTCATTAGTGTGTGAGCTTTAGCTGAAAGAACAAAACTGACGCAACACTTAGTCGTCTATGGATTTAGAGCCTTCATTCCTTTGCTCTTGACCCGCTGTTACTGCATGTAAAATGTCATGAAAGCCCTTTAGAAGCTAATCAATCTAGACTCCTTGCTACTTGACATCAGGGAATATATTTATAAGCTGCATGCTGCTTACATTTGTCTAGACTGAATTATTTTGATCACAGTCTATTTCACTCTCATCACCGCTGTAAGGTGGCAGAAAGAGCTGGTGTGGATCTTGTCTTTTTCCAGATAGCAATTGAGGCTGCCAACAGCTATTTAATGCCAGAAGTTAGTAGATCTAGCTTGATTTTCAGTGGAACATACATTGAACTCCATGTACCTCAGAGTGAGCATACAAAACCAAAACAGAAAATGATAATAGCCATCCAGAAAGACAAAGCAGATTAATCACAGCAACGGTGTGACACAGGACAGTGACACTGAGTCTCTGCAGCTGCCCTAGTGCTGAGACCTCACTGCGCTGAGTTACTGTAAGAAATGTAAAACTAAGGAAGCTGCTGTTTTCTCCTTGTGATGCTATATGCCTCACAGGGAAAAAGCTGTGGGTACAAATGATTCATGCAAAGTTTATTGTGCTTAGTTTTTGTTTGTTTGTTTGTTTTGTTTTTTGTTTTTTCGGAGGTTTCCCTTGCTATTTAACTTGTTTGCTTCATTTCCATTCATGCCACGGCTATAATTTTTATAGGTCAGATGCTGAGGCTAGGATCAGTAACACACACAAATGTATGAACTACAGCCACTTGTGGAAGTGCCTGCCTTCACCGAGGGAGGTAGGATAGGTCCTCTCTTCCATTCCAGCCTCTTTCTGGGAGACCTCAGTCTCTGTGATAAGAACCCTCTGTTGAGGAGCAGGTGCGAACACACCGTTGCTTTGCTGTGTTTCACAGTACCATGCCCAATCCGTTGGTAAAACCTGGATCTTCTGCCATTTCTGCAGAGGGGCTGATGTCTGCACCTCACTGGTATCTTCCAGTATACTCATTGTAGTTTAATAGGCTTGGGGTGGCTACAACTTTTCTTGGACAGGGAAAACTGTGGAAGAGCAGAGGTCAGGACGCGTCCCACCCCGCAGCACTGCTGCCCTGCCTACCAGCAGCTACACTTAATACGGACAGGCGGGTGCCCATCGGCGGGACGCGGAGTATCGGCGCTGCTCTGCTGAGTGAGGTGCAGCGGGACACGTAACCCGCTGCACGGCACCGCAGAGAGACGCGGACAAAAGGAGCGCTGTGGGCGCGCTCGCGGTGCCGGCTCCGTTCCGCCTGCACAGCCGTGCCGGCAGCCGTCTTTTGGTGATATCGGAATGCCCGCGCGGGTCCCTCGCGGGTCGGGGTCGGGGGTCAGGCCGTTCCCGGAACGCCCTCAGTAATCGGCCCCGCGAGCGGGATGCCATAGCCGCCGCCCCGTACCCGGGCCGCCTCCGCCGCCCCGTGGGCGGGCGCGGCGTTGCCGCGGAGACGGCGCCGCGGGGGCGGGCGGGTGCCGCCGGCGCCCCGGGGAGGTGCACGGAGGCGGCCGCAGCGCGCCGAGCCCAACACCCTCGCCCGCCGCCCCCCCCGTCGCCATTCCCTATTATAGAAGCGCTTCCGGCGGCGCGGGCCGCTCTGACATCATCCCCCGCACCCGGTGACGTCAGCGCCGGGAGCAGTGCGTGACGTCGGTGCGTAGGGGAGCGCGGTGACGTGCGCTACTTAAAGCTCCCCGGGCGGAGGATGGAGGCAGAGCGAGCGGGTGCTGCCGCGAGCAGCGGCTACCGGGCTGCGGGCGCTGTAGGGCCCCGGCCGGATCCGTTCCCGCTCCTACCCTTGTTCCCGTTCCGGCTCCTGTCCCAGCCCGGGGGCGGCGGGACGGCTGCAGGCTGCGCCTGCGCCTGCGCCTGCCCACCGCGAGAGCGGGCGGCGGCAGAGGTGTGAGGTGGAGGCGGGCGGCCGCAGGCAGCGGCTGTCAGCAGCCGGCAGCAGCCGGGCAGCAGCCGGGCACCGCCTGACGCGGCGCTCACTCCCCCCGCCCGCTCCTTCCCTCCCTCCCTCCTTCCCTCCCTCCCTTCTTCCTTCCCCCTATCCTCCCGCCCCACCGCCGGGTCTGAGCCCGCGGCCCCACCGCACAGCAAGCGCGACCCGGCGGCGGCCGCCCCTCCCGCCCCTCGCCCGTTGGCAGCGCCCGGCCCGCCGCGCCCCAGAGCGATGCCCGCTCGCTCGCCGCAGAAGAAGGCGTGACGGCCAGGCGCGAACCCGCCGCGGGAAGGAGGAGCGGCGCCCCGCGTCTCCGCAGCCGGGGGCAGGCGGGCGGATCGCGGCGCCCCGGTGCTCGCCACCAGCCGCCGGGAGCCCGATGCCTGTGCCGCGGCTCGCTCTGCCGCTTCGGGGAGATGCACGGCTGCCCGCCGCTCTGCTAGTGGGAGCGGCGGCGCGGAGCCCTGCGCGCACCGCCCGCCCCGTCCCGCTCCGCCTCTGAGGCGCGCCGAGCGCTCGGTGACCGCGCACCGCCCGGCGAGAAGCGCCGCAGCCGCCGCCAGCCCCGCGCGGAAAAAGGCGAGCGCCTTCCGCCCGCCCTCCCGCCCGCGGTTGGGGACACGTCCGCACGCCGAGTCGCCGCCGCACGCCCGGTCGGGAGCCGGAGCTGCTGCCTGCGGACGCCCGGCGGGGCTGGCGGCCATGCGAGCCCGGCCCGCGGAGGGCGCTCCGTAGGGCGCGGGTGGTCCTGCTCGGTTCGGCTCGGCCGCTGCCAGCCGGCGGCGCGACCCCCGGGCCTGAGCGGAGAGGCGCGGGCAGCCCAGCGCAGCGTACCCACCGCCGCCACGGGGCTGCGGAGCTGCCGGCGCGGCGAGGCGCGGCGCGGCGAGGAGCGCCCCGGGGACGCGGCCCGCGCGGCACCGCCGGTGCCCGGCGCCGCCGGCCGCCATGGGGTAAGCACCTCGCGGGGCCGCCGGGCTGCGGCGGGGCGGGGTGGGGTGGAGTGGGGTGGGGGCGGGCGGAGAGGACAGCGGGTGCCGCTGCCATCGGCGCCGAGCGAGGCTGCGGAGCGCTGTGCGGGGCTCTGTCCGCCGTAGCGCGCCGAGTGCCGGATCTGTCCCTGTTCGGCGCTGGCGGGCGATGTGGCGGGGAGGCTGCAGCGCGGCCGGGGCTCGTTGTAGCTCTCCTGGAGTCTTCTGGGGATATCGAGCGTGTAAGGTGCCCACATGTGAGGAAGGCTCTCAAGAGACCTGCTTCACAGCGCGTCCCCCAAATACGTGGGGAAATCCACCCGAAATTTTAAGCAGATGGGAAGGAATAAATTCTTTGAGACAAAACTAGCTGCATCTGATCTAGGAGACACAAGAGTGGCATAGATACCTGTGGAAACTTTCCACGTTTGCAGTCTCGCATTTGTACAGAGAAATGATGAAATAATGCTTGCTTGCGGTGCTTTCCTGCTAACCTCTGGATGGAGTGGAAGCTCGTCCATGTTCCAAAGCAGCAGAAGCACGACGTGATTTGGGTAACTGCAAGGAGGCAGGCTTTTAATGCATCAGTAGGACACTGCTTTCCTGAGACTGCTGTATAGCTCAGGGTAAACGAGTTACAACTCGAGTCGTTTGTTTTTTGGTCATTCAGGAATTTGGATGTGAAATTAGCGTATTCAGTAACGTGGAGCTGCAGGTGCATCGCTCCTCCAGCTGTCAAAGGCACATGGAACTCTCCAATGCACGAACCTAACTGTGGTGGTGGTGGCAGCTGTTTCCCATCACACCGAGTCAGCAGGGAACGTTCACCGTGCAAGATGTAAAAAGGAACATATCGTTAGTCATTAGCTTTTATTTTCCACTTAAAAAAAAGTCCGTGCAGAATAAACCCAAACTTGCAGCCATCTGCATCTTCAGGGAAGTGGTCATATGTTTTGAAAGCCTGGCAAAAGGCTGAATGGTAGTACACCGTTTGGGGGCTTTGTCCTTAAAGCTGCTGAACAGGCATAGAATTTTTCATGTTTTAAAACTCGAATAGTGGAAAAGCACATTTATTTAAATCCAGTATTATATGCAGATATGTTGTTTAGGTGTAGCTTACTGCAAATACTGGGAACTGTTGAGTAATAAGCATTGTTGTGCTGTTTTTCCTCTAACAGAGCTTTCTGAAAACAAATATTTGATTAAAAAAAAAAAAAAGATTAAAAGCTCCCTCCATTTAATAAACTCAGTATTTATAATTTAATGGGTTTATTTATAATAAACCCAGACTGCTGCTGGTGTGTGAGTGCTGCAGTTTCTTAATGAGCAAACTGATATCTGTAGAGAGTGGTGAAAAGAGTGAATACTGAAAAACTATACAAAAATATTTGGAGAAATTATGCAAAGATATTTTTGTGATGACTTCAGGGTGATATCTTAGCACTGAGGTCAAGACAGCAAAAGTTGTTGGCATGTGTTTTGAGGACCCTTCAGACGATACGCATTGAGGTATGGCAACAGTGTTCCTTTGCAGACTCTCTTTTAACAAGATGGAGATAACCAGAAATCTGAGTGTGTTATTGATGCCCCCCCTGCCATGCAAGTTTGGAGGAGCACATCTAAGCCTGTACCAAGCCTGTAGACCTGCAGTTATGTACTGGGCATTTGCTGATGTTCAGAGTCCTCTTTCAAACGCTGTTTTGAATTAGCATCTAAATGCAGTTCCCTATGGATTTGGGGCTATTTTGAGACCAACATGTACTAGAATCTTAACAATGCAGTTATCAAAATAGTCTTCTGATACTCTGCTAAGGTCTTAAAATCGAGCCTTTTAGAAGCAAGTTGGGAAATGGCTGATAATTATGCATCCGTGCATGTGAGGACTGCTTCAAAAGTAATGCCTCCTGTTTTATTATGTTGAATCACAGGATCAAGGGCACATGTCAATGGTATGACAGTAAAGCTTGGACCTTCCCACCAATATCCCATTCCATGTTGTTGCTGTGTGATAGATGGCAGCATGAGGGGCACCCTGACAAAATGCCATCTGACATGGAAGTGTGAATGAAGTGAAGGTGTGGCACTGAATTCTTCCATCCACTTCCATCCAATTCTTCCAAAGATAGCATCCGCTGACATTCATAGACACTTGCTGGAAGTTTGTGGAGAGCAACCTTTGGATGTGAGTAGAGCGAGGCAGTGAGTGGTGTGTTTCGGCAGTGGCAATAGGGATGTGAAAGACAAGCCACGCTAGGGACACCCCTGCACAGATGTCAGACCATGAAATGAAGAGCATCTTGATCTGCTGCTCTGTGCAAGTTGGCTAAAGTAGCAAAGATATACTCTATCAAATAGAGTTATTGTGCTCTTCCTATCTGTTGAGGTTTCCATGGGAATAAGTAGAATGCATTACTTTTTGGTCAACCTTTGTATATTTGGTAGTTAATGGATGTTGCTGTCATGGCATGAGTTTGTATGGTGAATCTGTAGTGTCTGGATGGTGGAGAGTTTACTTTTATCTATGGTCTGGGCAAAGAGAAATTGGAACTGGGGAGAAATAATTACTTAGCTAACCAGCAGTGCCTTTCTTAGTTTTATGTGTTATTATGAAGAATTCCCTGTTCTGATAGAATAATTCACCCTGCATTGCTAGTTGAGCACCATCTGACAAATGAAGTAGCTGTTTGGTAAATATCTAGCTGTAGGTTGCTGGTCTCTGAAGCTGTTCTGCAGTGAAATACTTGAAGCTGCAGTGAGAACCTTGAAGCTTGAGAGCAGCTTATAGGGTGCAGCTATTCTTCTTGGTTCTTTGCCTCTGAAGTCTGTGTGTCTCTCTTTACTCACAGGAGAAGGTAAATGAATCAAGCCCCAGGGGCAGTACACATGTGCTCTAGTTCCTCTACCTGCCACTCATTCCTCTTTTAATTTGTCCTTCCTTTTGCATAAGAAGTTTTGAGCAGTAGTCACTGTCAGTGCAGGCCTTTCTCTCGGATTGTCCCCACTGGATGACTGTTCTTCAATAAGAAAACCTTAACTTTTACATAAATCAGAACTCAGTATGTTCTGTGCTACTTCATAATGTCTCTTTTCTATTGCCAATACAAAAGTATCGAACAATAAAAAAAAATGATAGTACTGTACAGTTGGTCATCTTCGAGCTGAGGTTTGGTTATTTTAAAAATTCCAAAGAAGTAGATCTTAAGTAAACATACTAAGAATGTGTATTGGTAGCCCAGATTAATGTGTACATAGCTGAGTTAAATTTTATTTTGAAAGCTGCAAATTATTACCTTATTTTACTGGTTATTGGTACTGACTTTACTTGAGCTGGTGGCGGGGGAATTAGAGCTTGATGCTCGTAGGCTGTGACGCCATCATTACTGAGTCTTAGTGGATACAGTTCATGCTAGAAGCAGTATGGAAGCCACAAAGCCATGGATTCTACCAAAATCAAGAATCTAATGTTCTGTAAAACCTAGTCTTTTGGATTAATTCCTAGTTTATCAATGTGTAGTTTCTCTGTAACAATTTTTCTTCATGGTCTTTTGTTCTGCGGACAAGTATCCAACTTCATTTTACTAGCTTTTCACTCATCCTGAATGACAAGGAATTACAAGGTAGAAGTTTCTTTAGATCTTCTTGTTGCTGTCATGTCACATTAATCAAGGTGTCTTTATAAAGACTTCAGCTTCTCTTCACTTTGGACTATATTTAGTATGTTATCTTCCCAGAGATGGTTGTGGTATGTGTCAGTTTGAGATGGCAGAATTACAATACTGGAGTTCTTAAGCTGGCTAGAGAGTATTGTGGAAGATGAATATTTTGAGATGTACTTTTGAACATTATCGTTGCCTGGAAATAAGTATTTCATTTTAGTTCTTGTCAGTCAGTGGAAAATGGCAGTTGCTGGTTGGTCTGCTCTTGGTTCCCACCCTTGTTGAAGCATAGAGGGTTGGTCAGATGCATGTCTTCAAGGCATTCAAGTTATAGGGTCCCAATCTGATGAGAGTATTCTACAGCTGATTGTTCTACGCTCAAGCTTGTAATAACTCCTACGAAACCAGGTTGGAGCTTTAGAATCTAAAATTATATGAAAATCTACACAGCTTGAGCATATGAAATAGACAAATATTGCTGTGGAAACTGGCTTTTGTTTGCTACCTGGTGACTTCTTGCTTTTTCAGGTGTTTCGTAGTGAATTCTTGACCTTAAACTTTTTGTTTTTCTTTCTTTAGCAATACAGCAATACAATGCTGTTAGGAACCAGAATCTTAGTCAGCGATTGGATCTGACCTCACTTAAGTTCTTTGACCTTTTTCATTCTCACACAGATTAATGAAGCTCCCTAAGCTTCCTCTTAGCAACAGTTCCTTCAGCAGTACTCCTGACACAGAAATACTGCAGATAAGAGGGCGAAAAGGTGCAGCTCCTTCTTGGTAGTTTGGTGTTACTGTGATTCATGGCCATTTTGCTATCTCAAGTGTAAAACAAGATGCTTCTTGTGGGAAAGCAGTGGCAGCAAGTAATTTATGCTCTCTTCTGTAACATTGTGTAGGGTCTAACAGAAACAGATACTCACATATAGTGATTGTCCTTTAAAAAAATTAGTAAGGTATAAATACCTGGACAGATGGATATGTAAATCAGCACTGAATGGTTAATAAACCCTTCTGTCAGACAATAATGCACAGAGACCTCAGTCCTGCCTAACTTATCTTCTGTTACAGTAGTTTTATGACTATAAAATAAGCATGAAAAGACTAAAACAGCTTTTCTGAATGGGCAATACGTAAACAAGTGTCCTGACTGCCATGGGGGATGTCTTCATGCTAATCAGTGAGGGGATTCGTAATACCTTATGGCTGCATTTGATCTGCTCCAATATTGCCATGCATTGTAAGGAGAGTATAGACCAGATCGTGAGTGAAGTCCTAGTTCTGCTGAAAAACATGTAAATCCTTCTAATTCATTGTGTTGAGATT